CCAACCAGGTTATCTGAGTTTCTTAACCCTTTAGAGGTAAAAGATGAATTAACCCTTTACAGGGTAAAGAGGGATTAGCTGTATGTTTATGACAGATGCCTACACAGAATTAAAGTGAATACAGTTGGCACATAATCAGTTCCAAAGTGGTCCATCATTTTAAGTAAGCACCTACAATTCTCCGTTTACATTCACTTTTCCTGGTATCCTACCCCTTTTCTGGGCTGCTGTCGTAGCATATTATACTTGGGGAAAGGGCTAGAACAATGTGTTCCCAAATGGCCACTGATTTTTTTGTGCCCAACTTGAGACCCCTGGGATCTGTTTTCCCCCCCCCCCCAGCCAAAATCAGTGGCCCCTTGTCACTCAGCCAAAGGCTAGATGGAGTGGTAGAGCTGGGATTAAAACCCTTCAATCCTGACTTGTGGTCTCCCTAGTTTAACTACTAGAGACTTCTGTATGGTGGTGGTTTGACCCCTCTCTGTGGTTGGAGAGTACCAGTAACTTTCCAGCCAGCTGCACTGTTCTGAATGTGACTCAAATGAACTAAGTTCTCTGGTCTGGACACTGAAAGCATTTGCCTTCAGCTGTTTAGATTTGTTGAGGCCTTTCTTTAAGGGCTAGTGCAGGTTCTCAGAGGAATTTCCTGTCCCTTTATAAGAATTCCTGTTTGTTTAGAAATGCACATTGCACAAAAGTGTCCTAAATCAACCCCAGATGTGCTACTTCTGCTGCTGTTCCCTTGCATAACTCTACATTCCATCCCTGCATGCTTATCACAGTCACAGTGACATACTGGGGGAGGGAGGTGGGACAGATAAGCTAGCTGACTTCTGACCTGTCCACAGGGCTTTCACTTGCTCTCTGGTTCTTTCTGTCGATGCAGTCTTTTGTCCCAACATGGTTACTTGCTTCCCTTGCTAGTTAAATATTTATTAAGGCAGCTTTTCCTGCTGTGGGTAAGGTTTGGGTGATCACCCTTATACAGTACATTGATCCTGGTTAGCAGATAACTTGTTGGACACTGGCTGAACACTGCTCCAGCAGCCCCCTCTTGAATTCCTTTCTGAGAGGGCTCGAGGCTAAGGAGAAGTGGGCCAGCTGGCGGGAACTGTTAATCTGAAAGCCTGTTGTCTGGTCACTGGCACTTCGCAGTGTTACCAGAAGCAGTTTCATAGAATATCAGGATTGGAAGGGAAGGTCATCTAGTCCAACCCCCTGCTCAAAGCAGGACCAATTCCCAACTAAATCATCCCAGCCAGGGCTCTGTCAAGCCAGGCCTTAAAAACCTCTAAGGAAGGAGATTCCACCACCTCCCTAGATAACCCATTCCAGTGCTTCACCACCCTCCTAGTGAAAAAGTTTTTCCTAATATCCAACTTAAACCTCCCCCGCTGCAACTTGAGACCTTTACTCCGTGTTCTGTCATCTGGTACCATTGAGAACAGTCTAGATCCATCCTCTTTGGAACCCCCTTTCAGGTAGTTGAAAGCAGCTATCAAATTCCCCCTCATTCTTCTCTTCTGCAACTAAACAATCCCAGTTCCCTCAGCCTCCCCTCGTAAGTCATGTGCGCCAGCCCCCTAATCATTTTTGTTGCCCTCCGCTGGACTCATTTCAATTTTTCCACATCCTTCTTGTAGTGTGGGGCCCGAAACTGGACACAGTACTCCAGATGAGGCCTCACCAATGCCAAATAGAGGGGAATGATCACGTCCCTCGATCTGCTGACAATGCTCCTACTTATACAGTCCAAAATGCTGTTAGCCTTCTTGGCAACAAGGGCACACTGTTGACTCATGTCCAGCTTCTCGTCCACTGTAACCCCTAAGTCCTTTTCTGCAGAACTGCTGCCTAGCCAGTCAGTCCCTAGTCTGTAGCAGTGCATGGGAATCTTCCATCCTAAGTGCGGGACTCTGCACTTGTCCTTGTTGAACCTCATCAGATTTCTTTTGGCCCAATCCTCCAATTTGTCTAGGTCCCTCTGTATCCTATCCCTACCCTCCAGCGTATCTACCACTCCTCCCAGTTTAGTGTCATCTGCAAAGTTGCTTTGATTGTCAGTGTTACAATGGGATGGGAGATCTCTCTGACCCAAAAACAGACAGATTATCAGTTTGACAGGAAGGACTAGCCAGTTCGGTAATGGGATACAGAGCCTTCCATTCTCAATCAGTAGTGACCAGAAGTGATTGCCAGCTCTCAGCTTTCACATATGTGAAATGTGTGAGGGGGCCAGTTCAGGACCTGGTGGGCAGATCTGCCCAAAAGAATCCAGCAAGGCCTTGGGATACCACCATGATGTTACCAAGGTAGACTCCCTAAACTGGCCTCTTTGCTGGCAATTTCTGCATAGAGGCTGAAAACTCAACAGACCACCAGGCGGCCGAACCCCAGAGGAGTTCCCTGCAGGGTAGGACTGAGATGTATTAGTGAGTGAAAATGCACTTCCACTGCGTAACTAAAGGGCTCTGTTCTCCAGGGCTGTTCCCACTCCTGTGCTCCCTGCCCGTCACTGAAGTCTTCATTTTCCAGTTTAACAAGCAAGGACTCTGTGTGTGTGTTTTTTTTTGTTTTTGTTTTTTTTTGGTGACCCATCCAAACAAGATGGAGATGCTGACAGCACCTTATCTATAGCCAAAGTCAGCCCACTGAAAGCTAGAGTTCCCCTGGTTCTGGTGCTCCTGGCTGTTTGTACTGATAGCAGGTTAAAAATAGTTTAGGTTTTTGGGTATGTTTTTAATTTGAGGTCCCTTCAATTTCCCCCATTAATGCTGAGTGTTTGTGTGTTTCCTGCAGCTCCTGCCCTGAGAATAGCCTCTGCCTGCACATGAGAACCTTGAAACGGGAGCAAAGAGCAGCAAGCCTCCTAGGGGCTGGCTAACCCCAAACAGAAACTGCTTCTCAGGGGGGCTTTTTAAAAATCTGTTGATTTCTTGACAGGTTTGCTTTTAATGAGCATTCAGCCCTGCAAGATGGTAATATAGATGTCTGTGCTAAGGTGGGGCAGCTCTATTTAAGGGAAAAATTGAGTCCATTAGAGCCTACAATTATCTATAGAGCCATAGCTTGGTCTAGTGAGTGATGACAGGCTGCTAAAATCTTTTGCAGCTCATTTCTGGGATTTGCCCGGTGTAATCCTAAACCCTGTAAATGAAACCTGACCTTGAATGTTGTGTACTGGCCCCAGCAGCTACAGCCTCCTGACTGAGCAGCCCCTTGCATCTTTTTTGGACCCTGTTGTATGTTGCTTGTTTCAGTATCAATACCAGAGAGAGAGTGGCACAGGTTGTGGATTAACGCCTCCCAAGATGCAGGGTTGGTAGCCTGGCTGGCTGCAGGGTGTTTGTACTATGGCTGGACACACTGAAATCTGGCTTGATATTTAGTTGATTTGTCTGTAGTTTTGTAAAATGTTTTCACAATTTAAAAAAAAAAAACCCTCTTTTTAAATGTCTAAATATTCCCTGCTTGTTGGGAACCAAACGTAACCTCGGGGAGAGCCTGAAAGGACGTGGCCTGTAAAAGCAAAACTGACTGTTTTGTTATCCAAGTGGAGGGAACCAGGGGTGACGCTGGATTTTTACAGTGTGTCACGTTCAATGATCATTCTAAGGGGCTGTTAATGCAGAGATGAAGGAACTTGCTTACAAACAAGTTTTAAGCTGATGGCTCCATTGAGCACTTGCTCTGCAGAGACCCCTCCAGCTCCCTGCCTGTGACTCTGGAACAACTGTAGAAGAGGGCCCCAGAGAACCCTTCCCGGGGTGGACATTGGTCTAATGCATGTTGTGATGGGATGTTTCAGCCAAAGCTTCAAAAGCAGCACATTCGTTTTGGCTTGAGACACCAGGGTCTGATTTTTCAGAGGTGCTGAGCAACCCCAGTTCTGGCAGGAAGTCGGTGGGGTGTGAGATTGACTTTCAAAAGGTGTCACCACTCTCTTGAAAATGCTGGCTGCCAGAGTTAGTGTGTGCTCAGTGGATCCCCATGTTGTGCAGACAGGATCAATAAAGCTCCTAGAAATGGCCCTTACTGCATTTTGCTGCTTTGATGTCTAGACATACACACACTTGCAAAATCCTTATTGCAATCTATATATAATTTTTAAGGCGCTCCCAGTAACCAGGGACGTGACCCTGGCAGCAGCGAACCGGCCATTGCAGTTGAGATGGGCAGCCAAAGTTGCTCTCGAAATTTCTGGTTCTCAGTTAAGCTTGCTCTGCTGGTTTTGCCAGTGGTTCAGGCACTAGCCTAGGACTCGGATGACCTGGTTCAGTTTTCTGCTTTGCCGCCATCTTCTTGTTTGATCTTGGGCACGTCCCAGGGCCGGATCAGCGAAGGTACTTAGACGCCTAAAGGGACAGAGAGGCGCCTCATGGGGTTCACAAAAGCTCCTGAAGCAGGCGAGGTGCCCGGCTGGAGTTTTGAACCCCACGAGGTGTCTCTTTGCACCTTTAGGTACCTAATACCGGTGCAGATCTGTGTCTCAGTTCCCCACTGTGCCACACCTGCCCCCACCCAGGGTGTGTGTGACAGCAAATCCGTTACAGATTGTGAGGTGCTCGGATACTGTGGTGTTGGGGGACCCACACAAGTGCCTGCGATTAACCCTTACTACCCTTGTAGTTAGGACCAGGCTAATCCTGGCCCAAATGCCTCACGTTCCGGTTGACCTCTCTCGGCCTAGGTGTTAGAGAGAGGCTGTTCATGAGCAGCTGCTGTGACTGGAGTGGGGCAGGGGCAGCAGACTCTTGGTGCTGTGGTGCCTATTACTCCTCCTCTCAGGACTTGGGTGCCGTTGGAGGGGTGGGGGTCTCCTCTCCTCCTGTCTCTGCTCGCTCTCAACCCATTCTTCCCACTGAGGAGGATGTGGCAGGCTTTACCCCGTGCCTTCCCTATTGGTGGCCAGTGGCAGGTGTCCCAGGCCCGGCCTTGTCTCTCTGGCTGTCCCCAGGTCCCAGAACACCCTCCTCACACTGTCTCTCTTTCCTTCCAAGCTGTCTAACAAGGCGGAGCTGGAGCGGCGACTCTCTGACCTGGAGCTGGCCCAGATGCTGTCTAGGCAGAAACTGGAGCGAGCCTCTGCCGCTGCTGAGCGCATCGTGGCCTCTGACCCTATCGGCAAGCTTGCCGCCTTCCAGGCGGAAGTGAAGCAGGCCATCAGCGAGCTGAGAGGAGAGCTCCCCTCCGGGACCGAGCTGGCTGAGCTGCAGAGCCAGCTGGAGCAGCTGAGAACCACCGAGCTGGAGATGCTGAGGCAAGAGGTGGCCGGGCTCTTGTCGTCAGGTTCCAGGCTGGAGCAGAGCGTGGCCTCGTTGACCGGCTCCCTCACCAGTGCCCAGAGGAGCCTGGAAGAGAGAGCTCATAGCCTGCAAGCCATGCAGCAGGAAGCGGAGCACGCTAAGGTGGCTGGCAAGAGATTGGAGAACAACATTGGCTCCCTGTCAGCCCGGACCTTCGTCCTGGAGGGAAGCCTCAACCGCACCACACTGCTGTCACGCGCCCTGCAGCTGCAGCTGGAGCAGAACAGCAAGGCCTTGGCTGGGCTGCAGGAAGTGGCCGCAAATCAGAGCGGGAGCGACAGCTCTGAACCTTGGCAGCTGGAGAACCTCCGGTATGATGGCCACTTGAGGCTGATGTTTGTTACGTGTATTGCGGTAGCGCTGAGAGGCCAGGCCCCATTGTGCTAGGTGCAGTACAAATGGTCCCTGCCCCGGAGCATGGGATTTGAACACCTCTGGCCAAGCGGAGCCCTGCAGAGCCCTTGTCACAGAGGGCAGAGCCACGTGCCATGTCTGAAGGGCTTAACACCAAAGCAGGGGTGGAGTTATTGAGGGGACATGGCTAAAATCAAGGGGCTGCAGTTCAGAGCAGGAGCGTTTGCCCTGAATACAAGGGAGGCTTTCCGACCGTGAGACGTGCCTGGAGAAGCCTCTGGAGGGAGGTGGTGTTCACGCCATCACTTGGGACACACGCAAATAAACTGGGTGGCTATGCTGGCGCTAGCTTAATCTAGTTAGCATGGGTAACAGTAGTGAAGATCCAGTGATAGGCTTCAGCACAGCCTAGCAACCAGACTACAAGCCACTGGGGCTCTGTCTGCTAGCCCACTCTGAAGCCTGTGCAGCTGAATGAAGAGCTGGAGTGAACTGTAGCCTTCTTCAGAAGCCATTAGAAAGCAGTCTGCCTCCTCCTCTGGCTTCGTGGCATCCCCTCTCTGCACTCACTGCAGGCTTGTATCTCAGACTGCTGCTCAGCGTGCAAATGCCCAGTGGCATGTGAGCCAGCTCCATGGGGACCCGCGGGTCTTGACTCTGCTCTCTGGGCCTTCCAGGGTGCAGATCCAGCAGCTGCAGATGGAGAGATCGGCCACGCAGGAGCGGGTGAACGAGGCGCTGCACAGCATTGCTGACCAGAGGAGAGAGCTGCAGGGCAGGATCTCAGAGCTGGAAACGGCTATTCATGCTCTTCAGGGCCATGTGACTCAGGTGAGGACTCCGGGCCACCAGGCTATGGTCACTCCACTGTTGCCTAGGGAGAGGAACAAGCAGTACAGTAGAACCTCAGAGGTGCAAACACCTCAGGAATGGAGGTTGTTCTTTCGAAAGTTTACAACTGAACATTGACTTAATACAACTTTGGAACTTTACTATGCAGCAGAAAAATGCTGCTTTTAACCATGTAATTTAAATGAAACTAGCACAGAAACAGTTTCCTTACCTTGCCAAATCTTTTTTTTTTTAACTTTCCCTTTATTTTTTAGTAGTTTATATTTAACACAGTACTCTGTTGTACAGCTCGCCTGTCTGATTGTGTACTTGTGGTTCCAAATGAGAGGTGTGGTTGACCGATCGGTTCGTAACTCTGGTGTTCTACTGTCCTGTTAGAGCCAGGGGGAGACACTGGCCGGGTGTCATAGGAGTTCAGAGATGAGATACAAAGCTGGCTAAGGGGTTCGAGGAATGAGTGATTCCCTTTACATGATGAAGGGTGAGGGGAAACAGAGCTACCCATGAGAACAGGCCAGGCCTGGCTGTTGATCTTGGAAGGGCTGGAGGGATGTTGGGGGACACATAGGTGCTGGCTTTCTCCAGGCCTGTGGGGTACTCAACCCCCCGCTCTGCCCCAGGTTCTGCCCCCACCTGCCCCCTTCTCCCAAGTCCCCATCGCTGCCCCACCTCTTCCTTGCCTCTTCTCGCCCAGTTCCATCCCCTCCCCTGAGCATGCCTCATCCCTGCTCCTCCCCCTTTCTCCCAGAGCCTCCTGCACACTGTGAAACAGCTGATTGTGGCGGGTGGTAGGTGCTGGGAGGGAGGGGGAGGAGCTGATTGACAGGGCTGGCAGGAAGCACTGGGGAGGAGGAAGGGGGAACTGCCTACTGGTGGGTGCTCCCGGGCTGGAGCACCCACAGAGTCAGTGCATATGTGGGGGACAGACGTGGAATTGCAGATTTAAAAACAAATGCAACTGACATGCTGTGATCACTGTAAAATGCTGTTACTTCAAGCGGTGTAGGGCAGTCTGCATCCACAGAGGTGGGTCTTAAAGATGTGTCCTGCAAAACGCACAAGTGAGGGCTTCTGCATCACAGGTCCACATTGGGCTCTGGGCCCTGCAGGTTTATTGGCTTGTAGCGAGCTGGCTGGACTCATGGAATGTGACGTTATTTTGGTAGCAGAATCCCCCGGATTTACTTCCCAGCAGAATTTCTCAGCTATTGGGTGTGGAGATTGGAGGGGGGAAGCGTTACAGCTCAGTACCCGGATATCCTTTGGGGAAAGGGTTCTGCAGTACAGTTAGTCACATGAGCTTCTGGGTTGGGCCTAAACGCACCAAAGCAAATACCTGCAGTGAGGAGGAATGCCGGAACTGGGCTTTAGGAGCCCTAAGAGTGCAGATGTGGGCAGTGCTGCTCCCTGCGGTGCAGGAGGATGTGCGGGTCTCGGAACCAAAAGCAGAGGATTTCAGTCTCCAGTGCCTCTCGCCTGCACTGATCTCGCCCCACGTGCTCGCACACAGACCTTTGCTACAAAGCCCTTCACCTGGCACCTCCCTGGACCCTGCGGGAAGTGGAACTCTCCAGCAGTGCCATCTGCAAGCAGGGAATCTCAGTGTATGTGGTTGCCAGGGTGTGTGAGAGCCCCTTGCAGGGTGAGAGGGGTGTGTCCTTAGGTAGGAAGCTGGGGTAGCTCCCAGCCTCACAGGGAGGTCACGGCATGTGACCGTGACTCTCACCATGCGCTGCTCTCTGAGGAAGCCTGTGCCTGGAGCAAAGAGTCTGTCCCATTTCCTCTCTCTTCAGGTGGAGCTGGGCATGGTCAATCTGAACACACAGCTCTCTGGTGCCGTGGAGCAGCAGCTGCAGGGTCTAAAGCTTGGGATGGCCAATCTGGAGAGCAGCCTGGGCACCAGCCTGCAGCAATGTAAGAGCAAAATCCCTTCCTGGAGCAGGGGGGTGGGGTGGGGGGACGACCCACAGACTGAACGACTGGGTGTGGCATTGGAAGCCACCCCTGCCGCGTGTTCTGCTTGCTCTTCAGATGGGCACATGCATGCACCCCTCTGCATGTTGCTTGGGAACCAGAGATGGAAGCCAGTTGGGTCTCTTCTATTCCAGTGCTTGGTGGCTCAACCTTGTGCAGACTTCAATGGCCCAAGTGATTGGGGTATGTTCGCCCCCGGGTGGGGGAGGGGAAGCAAGTCCATAGACTATCGAGCGCACTGTTATTGCGGCAGTCGTGTTGTCCGTGAGCTTTGATCCTAGCCCAGCAGGTCCCTCTGGCTATCCCTGCACAGGCTCTGTTTAACCCACCCCCTGCCCTCAAAATACCCAATTGGAGTGATTTCTGACTAGCAGAGAAGATGCTGAGATCTGTTTAAGCCCACGCTGCTCCCGTCACTGTCTGTCTAACAGGGTGTTTGTGGAGCAGATCCCCATTGCACGTGTCCATTGTTACCAGATTTGTCCATTACTTTGGGGTACTTAAGGTTACTCTTCTGGGGAGAGGGGGGTTTCTGTAATTCCATCAATGTATTGCTTGTGTCACTTGTGTTCTCATACGGAGCTCTGCTTCTCCCTGCTGCAAGTTCCCGCCCAATGGAGCTATCCTGCAGGACCTCGGTACCCCAGGGCTGGGTTTGTACACACATTCACACACTCTCTCTATTGACCGGCTTAAGCAGCACTCCCCAGCTGACCCCTTCTATGCCCCTGGACTTGGCAGGCTGAGTCGAACAGCACGTCCAAGCTGCCACCCTCATATGTCCCAGGTAGTAACCCACTTGATGAGTAAACCCCACAGGATTTTTGGGCACTGAAGGGATCTGTAGCTTAGGTATGAGGAGCATTGCTGCAGAGCGAATGGGGAAGCCAAAAAATACCCACAAGGGTGGGAGAGAGAGAGAAGCAACCAGCTTAATCATGGAAGTTATTTATTGCCAGGTAATAACCATACAAGGGGAGCCAAACAAACAAAACAGTTACAGTATTAAGTCTAACATAGATTTGATTATAAAAGTCAGGTTTAGAAAACTATAACTGATCACACAAGTCAAGGTCAGAAGGCTACACCTAGAGAGAGAGCTGGGTTCTCACCACTCCATGAAGCTTGAATCGATTGGGGGTCCCAGGTGGTGGTGGTAGCTGAGGGTCCGGAGTGCTGGAGACAGGCAGAGCTCCCCCCCACCCCCCATGATCAGTCAGGAGAAGATGAAGTCCTAATGGAATTGATGCAGATTTTGGATCCAGGCATCAGAACACTTACTTGAGCATGGGTAGGGGATTTTGTAGAGAAAGAACAATGGTTCAAGGGAGAACACTAGATTTGTTTATGGGTAAACTGATGGCTCAGGGGAGTATACCAAAGTTGTTTTGTTTAGGTTAGACAATGGGAGCTGATCATTCCTGTTCCTTGGAGGGAGCTCACAATGCAATTAGGGAGCTTCACTATTTTGGATACAAATAAAGGATGTGGGGAAAGCGGTGGATGTGATATATCTTGACTTTAGCAAAGCTTTTGATACGGTCTCCCACAGTATTCTTGCCAGCAAGTTAAAGTAGTATGGATTGGATGAATGGACTATAAGGTGGTGTAGAAGAGTTGCGCCGGGGCTCTACCCTCCGGGACGGAGGGGCACCACACCGGCTCACTATAGCACAAACAGTCAAAGCTCAGGCCCCTTTACGTAGGGGCTGGGCGACCCACAGTTCGGTGAGCTCAGGTCCTCCGGCAGGGGTCGAGCAATAATCAACTGGTTCTGGGCTCAGGCCCTCAGGCAGGGGCTGAGCCAACCAACAGTTAGTCCTGAGGCCCTGGCCCTGGATCTGGGCGGGGCACAAACGGTCACAGCTCAGGCCCTTGGATGCAGGGGCTGAGCAAACAAGCAGTTACGGTAAGCCCAGGCTCCTACACCTGAGCGTTGGGTGAGGGGGAAGCCTGCCACCTGTGAGCGGGGCTGGCAGGGGGGGACGCAGGCCCACCCACTCCACTGTGTTCCAGCCCAGGGCCCTAGCAGCGGTTACTGCCGCTGCTGGTCAGTGGGGTATCCTGACCGAAACACACTGACATCGGCTCACAGGTCTCTGCAGCCTGACCGGGGTCGGCTACCCCCGGGCTACTTCCGTGTTCCCCCTCGGGGCCTACCTCGTTGGCGACACTGGGTTCGGGCCAGTCCAGGAGCATCGGTTCCTCGGGTGCGGGGCTTGGGGGCCGGTCCGGCAGCTCTCCACCGGGGTAGCGGGCCCGGGGCAGGCTCGGCCAGTCCTCCTTGGGGTAGCGGGCCCAGGGCAGGCTTGGCCAGTCCTCCTCGGGGTACCTGGCAAGAGGTAGGCTCGACTGGCCCGTTGGGGTGACAGGCGGCTCGCGGCCTGCGGCTGTCTCCCAAGCGGGAGCTCGGCCCGGGACGTCTGCTGGCCTGGGCTTCACTGAGCTCTGCCGGCGGGCTTTTATACTTCCGGGTCAGGGCCGTGACCTCGGCCCCATGCGGGACGGAGGGGCGCCACACCGGCTCACTACAGGTGGATAGAAAGCTGGCCAGATCGTCGTGCTCAACAGGTAGTGATCAACGGCTTGATGTCTAGTTGGTAACTGGTATCAAGCGGAGTGCCCTAAGGGTCGGTCCTGGGGCCGATTTTGTTCAACATTTTTATTAATGATCTGGATGAGGGGATGGATTGCATCCTCAGCAAGGTTTCAGATGAAACTAAACTGGGGGGAGAGGTAGATACGCTGGAGGGTAGGGATAGGGTCCAGAGTGACCTAGACAAATGGGAGGATTGGGCCAAAAAATCTTCTGAGGTTCAACAAGGACAAGTGCAGAGTCCTGCACTTAGGAAGGAAGAATCCCATGCACTGCTACAGACTAGGGACCGAATGGCTAAGCAGCAGTTCCCCAGAAAAGGACCTGGGGATTACAGTGGACGAGAAGCTGGATATGAGTCAGCAGTGTGCCCTTGTTGCCAAGAAGGCCAACAGCATATTGGGCTGTATTAGTAGGAGCATTAACAGATCAAGGGAAGTGATTATTCCCCTCTATTCGGCACTGGTGAGTCCACACCTGGAGTATTGTGTCCAGTTTTAGTCCCACCACTACAGAAGGGATGTGGACAAATTGGAGAGAATCCAGCAGAGGGCAATGAAAATGATTAGGGGGCTGGGGCACATGACTTGTGAGGAGAGCATGAGGGAACTGGGGTTATTTAGTCTGCAGAAGAGAAGAGTCAGGGGGGGATTTGATAGCAGCCTTCAACTACCTGAAGCAATAGTCTCAAGTTGCAGTTGGGGAGGTCTAGGTTGGATATTAGGAAACACTATTTCACTAGGAGGGTGGTGAAGCACTGGAATGGGTTACCTAGGGAGGTGGTGGAATCTAGTTACCCAGTAGCATAATAAGGGGACTCCCCAGTGAATTTCAGAAGCAGTGCACGTTAAAATAGCTAACGGAATTTTCATGGAGTGTGTAACAGACCCTTGGGACCCACTGCTACAGGACAGCACTGGCTGAATGCACTTCCCCCAAAGGATTAGACACTGGCACCAATAGAGCAGCAGCTGCAGTTAGACAACTGGGATAAAAATGTTCCAGGCCATGAGCCAATGAGGAGCTGTGGTGAGCGAGACATGGCCAACCCTGCAGGGACAGTGTGCTTGGGTGGGGCGGGGCGTGGTAAGAGTCTCTGAACCATCTTGAGAGAGGTGACATTCCATATTCTTAATCCAAATTTGCAGCTAAATTTTATTATCCAGTAATGTCCACAGGGGGGTGCTGTGGGACTGCGAGTGCCCAAAGCTCTTTGCATGGGAAGACAGCACAGGGGTTTCTTTACAAAATCAAATTTGATCTCAGTCCCTGGAAATCCTGATGAGGGGAGGAAGGGCCTTGATTGAGTGAGTCCTTAGGGGCTTCTCCAGGTACCGGGGGGGGGGGGGTAAGGGGTTCTCTGTGGATGAGAAGTGCCCCACTCTGTACTACAGAGCCTCTGGGAACTGCCATGCAAGTGTTTTTTTCCTCTTCACTCCCAAAGGGAGGCATGTCAGGGTGAGCAGAAACGGGTCTCTGCCCTCCTGAGGCAGGCTCTCCCCCGAGCCCAGGGCTTCCTTGCCCTGCAGGGTCCTTTCACCCGAGGAGAGCTGGACATTGCTCCTTGTGGAGCTGCCATCTCCCTGCCTTCCTGCCCCATTCAGGGCTGAATGTTCCTCTCCCAGGCACCCAGCCAGGGAATGAGATGAGACCCTAACCGCAGGCCCACTGGGTCTCCCCGTCACACTAGAGCTGTGGTGCCTATGGTTACTGCTCTGGGTTTGGCTCCATTCAGTCCAGCCAGAGCTTGCGACTCCAGACCCCCGAGTTATAGCAGATTTGAATTGCTTTGGGCTCCTTACACCTCTCCTCGGGTTGTTTTTTTGGGATCCCATCCCCTGTCCTATCCTCTCTCCACTCCAGGTTCCCGTTCCCTGTGGAACACTAGTTGGTGAGAATGTGCCACCTGTCACTGTGCGTTAATTAGGAGCCTCTCTAATTGTCACAGCACTGATTGCTTTTCCTGGAGGAGCGGGCGTTCATATCTAGTAATGGCATGTTCCTTGCCCTGTGGTGTTCCAAGCATTCCCTTGATCTTGTGCTGTGATACCTGATCTCTGCTCAGGGCTGTCCCCTTCCAGCTCCTTGTGGGTGCTTCTCCAGGCTAAATGACTCCTGTCTCTGCAGTCTCATGGTAGATCTCTGCCAGCTCGTTCTCCACCCTCTGGGCTCACTGAGACTCTCTGGAGGGCACTGAAATTGACTCTGATCTGTGCAGTGGCCATCTCCAGTTCCTGTAAAAATGAGATGTCCCCTGAGGGTGGAGCACACTGTGCTTTGCAGTGCTTATGCCCCATACCAGAGAGCACGATACAGTCCTGCTGCCCTAAAGTTCCTCTCCCCCCTCCAGGGGAATGCCATTGACTAATATGGATTTCTTTCATGGCGGACTGGTGGGAATTTAAAGCTACGGGACTGTATCTCCGATACACCTTCCTCCAGGGCATCGTACAGCTGCCTAACTCTGGCTCTGCAGTTATGGGTTGCCTCTCATGGTGACAGAAGATATACAGAAATGGACCATGCAATGGGACAGTGTGTTGGGTCAGTGGGAAGGCTGGCTTGATGCCCTCAACAGAAGGAAAGGAAACTAACCTCTTGCTTCCCTTCTTTCTCCCCCAACCCCACCAGGTCTCTCAGGAGAAGTACAGACCCGCTGTGAGACTGAGGATGGCTGTGGGTGGCCGCACGTGCGTGAGATCAGCTTCCCGCACCGTATCCCGACCCAGCCGGCGATTATGCTGGGGCTGGTGGGTCTGAGCGCTCGCAGTTCTGTGGGCATCTCGGTGAGAGCTGTGGACGTCACGGACTCTGGCTTCAAAATACACATCGCCAGCATGGGCAACCAGAGCCTGACCAGTGCCAGGGTCTCTTGGATGCTGTGTGCCTAGATGGAAAGCTGTGATGCGGCCCCTGGGGCAGGGATTACTGAGCTGGTGGCATCTGCTTTACTTGGACACAACTGTGGTTTGCTTTGGTTTTCTTTAAAGTAATTACAGCTTACAAGGAGACCATGTAGGTGGGATCCCAATGAATAGCCCCTTCCTTGGGAGCTGTGTATCCCCATTTAATGGCAGGCTGAACAGCCCCAGACCTCGCTGAAGGCTCCCGGAAAGTGCAACTGACAAGATTTGTCTTAAACTTCCAAACCTAAGCTCCTAAACTGAACCCACCAGCTATATGCACGTGTAACTGTTTGTGTCTGCGTTCAGCCACTCTGCATCTGCAGATGTGTGGCTCACTCACACGAAAAGATGCACCACAAGGCTAATTGTGAGGGAAGTTGAGCACCTGGGTGTGGAAAGTTGGCCTGTAAACCTCTTTATTTAGGGATTTTTCTGTTTTATTATTTTCAGTAGCAACAGTTGGAATGTTCTTCTGCTGCCCATTTAGGATTCTACCCAGTGCTTTGCATGTCAGAAGTGTTAAAACTTATGCAGAGATGATGCTGGATGCAGCCAAACAACCAAAGGGTGGGGGTGGGGGTGTGTGTGTGTTTCCAGTTGAAACTTCCTGGCTGAGCCGGTGTGAGCTTGCCTATACGGCAGAGGGCATTGCTAGTCAGGGCTGCTCATCCCTCACAGAGCTATGGCGTCTACTCTGAGCCTTACCTTGGAAGAGATGGACAGACGTGCTAAGCTTTCTTGTGGCGTTGCAAGGTGGGCTAAGACTACTAGCCTTCTCTGGACCTCTGATCTCACCAAGTGAAACACCAGAGCATTCAGACCGCTCCGGGTGTGCTTGCTTGTCTGTCTAATTCTGCAGAAGGGAAGCAGCTGTATTTTAATGTATACAACTCTCTCAGAAGAAGGCTTTGGGGGCTGCTAATGGCTTGTCCAGCCTGCTGACCTATGCACAATACATCTGTTCCCCTACTCTCTCTCCTCTCCTTCCAGTGATGGGGGTGGGGGAAGGGGAAGGAAGATGCACTGGAGCTCTCAACACAGCAGGCCCCAGGGTGGGAGAGGGGCCTGCAAAGCAGGTTATGGGTCCACCATGAGACACCTTGCAAAGATGGGAGGTGTGTGCAATTCCACCCCCATAGTCCCAGTTTGGAGGTTTTGTGTCCTGTGGTGGTGGGTACAGAAAGACACTCAGCTGGTGCTACATATGTACCCCATGGAGATGCGTGGGTCTCAAATTTGGCAGGGTTGGGGTTGAGCGTAGTGCCTTCTGTGGCTGAAGATTAGAACATAGAGGCTTCTTGTCAGAAAATGGGGGAGTGTTCCCCAGATTGCCGGCTAATGTGGGGGTTTGACGTGACTTGGGTGCTAGGATAGCTCCACTCTAGAGTCACAGGAGACAATCTGCCTAAATTGTCCTCTTCTCCTCCACACGTTCACTCTGCGCTGACTGAAAGGGGGAAGGACAGTCTTGTTAAAGCATAGAACTAGGATGTTGGAAATCCATGTTCTGTTCCTAGCTCTGCCACATGTTGGCAGGTGGCTTGCCCTCTGCGCCTGGCCTTTGTAAAGTACCAAGCGATGCCTGCTCTCTGCAGAAAACCGTAGAGATTTTTTTCCCCTGAAAAAGCAAATTCTGCAAACTGAAACACTGTCATTTGGAAATGGTGTTGCCCTGCCTTATGGGAGTTGTAGTTCCGATGTCTGTTCCCATTCTCTATAGAGGGAATATGAGGCTGCATTTACCAGTCAAAATATTTTGGGGTTTGGGGTCTATTTTTGGTGGAAAAATCAAAAGTTTGTGTGCGTGAACCTATTTTCCAATGACCATCTCTAGTGCCAATTACTGTTTCTAAGCTCACTTGGTGCCATCAGCTGGGGCACATGGCAGATGCTTTCCCATAATGCCTGAAGTGTCCCGCAGGGATCCAGAACATTCCAGCGTTGTCTCATCATCTGAACTGCGCTGACAAGACTGCTGCTACCCTGGCTCACCAGGACGCTGGCTGCAGAAAAGGAGGCGGTGCACTGAAAGCCTGAGCTAGGAGTTGTAAGACATGGTGGGAATGGCAAATGGATCTTCAGCTCTTCAGGCTGTCGGAGGGCAGAGAGAGGTGCCAAAGCAGCATGTTCCGCTCTGAGTGAGTGGGGACATCCAGAACTCTCAGGACAGGCTACAGGACACAACTAAGACTCTGAAGTGACTTCTGGCAGTGGGATCTGGGAGCCTGAGCAGTACCTGCTGCTTCTTCACACCCATGCTGATCATGTGTGTATTCAGCCCTCCTCAGCAGAGGGTGTACTGACAGCGCCTGAGGACCCCAAGGAGAGAGGGAAGGGTGGTGGGATTCTGTGCAAAACATCTAATGCCTCCAGAGTCAGACAGGAAATGATGGTTTTTTTCCAGTTGCTTCCATGTGCCTAATGCAACTGCAGACTTTCCCCTGTCCAGTGGGAAGCTGCTGCTCTGTGACTGTCCATAGGCGAAGGAGCTGCTGCTGTTCGTTCGTGCCTGAGCTGCAGGAATCGCGTCTGTGACTCAGCCCCGTGGAGGCCTCGAGGTTTGTGGGCCGTGTGCCTCAGCCTCTGGCACGGAGCTGGCTGCCAATTCAGGAGGCCGCAAGTGCTGAATTGCCAAAGTTGTTTTAGAAACTGAGCAAATGGGCACAAACCAAAACCTCCCTCGGGTGGATCTCTGTTGGCAGTGCAATATTTGGCCTCGTCCCCAGCGTGCCTTGCTCTAAACCGGTTTTCTGCTCAGGTGTGGGCTCGCATGGCTTCATGCGAAATGGAAGCACTTTCCCTGAAATGGCAGAGTGCAAAGTAAGACACCTTCCAACTTCAAGGCCCTGTTGGCTGCTCTGTGGGATGGAATGGGAAAAAAACCTGGTGGGTCAGAACAGGGAGCGCTGTATGCAAACCGTCAATCCTCTCCTGGGCTTGAGAGCCTCTGGGGCCACGGCCACCCTCCTTGGCATCCTGCTTCTCCTGCCATAGGGTTCCCCTGCCTAAGGGTGAAGTGCTTTGGCTTGCTTCGTTACAGGCTCAAGTAAGTTTTTGGGGAACATGGAATCTGGCCTAACGTTAATTCCGAGTAGCTCTACAATGTCCACGTATGTAGCCTGGCTCTGATCAGACCCTTGGCTCCTCTTGTGCTGGCGAGGCCAGCAAAGCCCTTTGCTGAAGCTTTTCTGCAAATACTGAATAAAAAGCAGGAAAGCCAAGGGTGGGGTAAGTCTGGTACAGCTTTAAAACCCTGCTCTCCTAGGGCCCAGCTGGCACCCAAGAAACTAACTGGGTGGTGGTTCTTGTGCCAGGCTGGGTGTGGAGACCCTCTGGTTTTTGGATTGTGTCCCATTTCCATTTAGCCTAGGTCAGTAAAAACTAACTTGCAGGTGCAAGCAGAACCCCTATAAGCCAGGTTTAAACTGATGCCAGTCCCTGCACCTCCACCCCACACAGTCTTCTACCAGTTTAACCATAATTAACCAGTGCAACGGCTGGGTGTAGGCAAATGCCAAGTTGCTTTTGGTGCAAGGCTTGTCCATGCACAGATTCTTCGAGGCAGCATTAACCCCAAAGTTAAATGTCTCTGCATTTGCTATATCTAATGGATGTGGGTCTGTTTCCATTTTACATTTAAGAGAAAACTAAAGTCACTAGCTGAATGCAGCAGAGCTGGCTGTATTCAAGTCCTATGCCGTGGGAGCTGCTGCTGCATGTACATCAAATTCCTCTCTTTCTGAGCCAGTTTTTAGCTTGTGCTTCCCATTGGCTTTGTCTCAACTTATGTGGCTGCAAACTGGGCCTGAGATAGGTTAAGGGCTGAAGCCAGCCAGCCAAACATCTTACAATTGCCCAGCTAAGTGAAGGGCTAGGCTGCTTAGTGTGGGCCTGATTCTGATCTCATACTTCTGTATGCCAGGAACTCGGTTGTCCTCAGTGAGGGTGCTCCTGTTTTAAAGGGGTGTGAGAGGAGAATTGATGCACACCTAAGTTTGCTGTAAGGACCAAGTACTTAGATGTTTCTGTATTGAATCAGGCCTTGTATAGTTGGGGTACAGGAGCAGGCTGAATGTGGCTGTCTTGCTGAGTGCATAAATAGGTTGCTGTCCTACTGCTGTGTACCCATAGTGCAAAGCTGAGCTCAGCATTGATAACACCAATTGTATGGCCAGCAAACTGCTTCTCTTCTCAAATAACTGCCTGCATGCTGCATCGCCCCGAGTCCCCTTTGAGCCCTGTGCCCATTCAAAATTTGTATCCGCATCCAATCCACAAAAATGATCTGTGGATACCTGCATCTGCGGCTATAAAGCAGATATTTGCAGGGCTTCAGATACCACATTTGGATCCGCATCCATGCGCGATCGGCAAAAAGGGTCCGTGGATATCCGCTGATTTGCAGGGCTCTAGTCACCTTCAGCTCGTATTGCTCCATCTGCCTCAAAAGGCTGCCAGTTGCTATTGCTGCCAGGTAACAATACTAGCCTGTGTCTTCATTCACACTGTGCAAACTGGATCCCTTCCCACCATGTGTGATTCAGGTCGCAGGTGAACTTTTAGCTTTTCAGAATAAGCCCTGCTGAATTCAGAAATGCAAGAACAGCGCCACTTCTTCCAAGAGGAGGAGACACCTCCACAAATCAACCTTCCAGCTTTTCCTCTCATCTGGAAAGGATTTGCACATGGCCCTTGGCTGGCTCAGTGATGTTTCCTAGGTGGATAGAGCTGTGCAAGCAATTCCCGTGCCACAGATGTTAAGTAGCACTTCTCAGCACAGCTGGGGGTGAGATCTGTATCATCTTTAAAATAAGAGGTGACTAGGCACTGGGCTAGAGAGAAGGGAAGCTAGATGACAGCTGTCAAGTGGAACTGGCAAAGGGCAGCTTGTGCTGTTTTTATTGATTTGCATCCATGCTACAGGGGCGCACACACTAACCTGTGATGGCTCATTTAGCTCTTGGGCCAAATGACTAGTGTTTTGTTTGTGCAGTGGTGGTGGGCTCTAGGGCCTAGTTTTCTTCTCACTGTGAGGAATGAGGGAAGGGACCATAGATCATGCGGGGAGCCTCAGCTGGGGTTACAACCCCTTCTTCAGCTGGGCATAGCTGGGGAAGTTGGTGTTGCTCACAGTCTCCTGAGTCCTCTCTTAGACAACAGCGTGATGGGTGCATTATCAGTGTCTGAAAACAGGAGCAAAAGCCTGTCTTACTTATGCCAGGGTTGCCTGTATGAGGAATTCACGGACAGGTAGCCGCTTCCTGGACATGAGCTGTGCCAGTTCTGGCAGCTCCAGACTCCGGTCTCTTCCAGGGAGAAGAGGGGATGGTGCTGAGGTGATAAACAAGCAGCCAGCTACAGCCTGACCTGCCCCTTACGCAGGAAATTCCAGTGTGGCCTCAATGGGAGAAGTAGAAATACAGATTAGTGTCCCTATGTATTCCCTCCACCCCCACAGCTGGCTTAGAGTGCTGACAGGCCCTAGCTTTTTGCTGGTGGAAGCTGGAAATGTGAGATGTCCCCTTGAGCCTCCTCTGC